TCGAAATAAGTTTATTTTGACGGGTTTCGAAATCATGCTTTTATTACGTCCCATATCCTGGAAAATAGAAAAATGCCAGTTTTTCTTGCCGACGCTGCCTGTGTGACATTTTTGGCAATTATATTAAACCCACAATCTCAGAAAATACTACTGATTATATCGAAACTGTAAAGTTGTTTCTTAAAACTATTAGGTAAATATTAAGATGAGGTATCGTTTGTACGTCACTAATGTGCCTTATAATTCAAAACTCTATTACAGGGTGGTTAATGTCACATTGTACGAACCAAAATATTTAAACTAACAAGGGTCTCAAAATAAATAATCAAGTTATCTATTTTAAACTATCCTAATATATACTCGAGAAGTTAAAAATATTATTTTCTTCGATTTTCACTTTTCGAGCGTGAGCTTGTCATCGGCGACTGCTTGCTTTCATATTTTTTGAAGGGTCATGACCCCTAGAGTACGAAAAAATGAGTCTCTCCTTTCCGTCCGTCTGTCTGTCTGTCCGCCGTCCGTGACGATTTTTGTTAGACAGATAATCTTCGAAACTGCAAATTTTATGTATGTGTTATGAATACCATGTAAATAGTAGCTGGTAAAACGCTAACCAAATTTTATTTAATCATCCCGACCTCAAAATTGTACATAATAGTAAATGGGTTTTAAATTGTATAAAATAACATCGTCCTACACGAGTAGTATATGAATCCGTGTTGAGTTTTTACCCGAAGCGTCCAGTTTTATGGAAAAAAAAAATATATAACAACATTTTGCAATTTGATTTTGAATCTGCAAAATCGAATGCTCTGAAATCTTTCAGACGTTTCGAAGTTATAGTAAGTATGGTAAATTTTTCATCAAAATATATCTGCTTATCCTCCAAAAAATTGGTGACGTCATCTCAAAATTTTGCTAAATAAATTCTTAAATGTGAAAGTTAGATGGGCTTGTACTTGGGATTTATCATTACATTAATTTTTGTTAGAATTGCTTATACATTATAATTAATGTTTTGTAACAATGCGAATATTCGCGGGCCTAAAACCGGGACGTCTACCAAGAGCTAAGAGTAAATCCGCGATCGCCGCGCCGACCCGGCCAGACAAGGGGATTCTTTCTTGAAGTTTTAGATGAGTTTGGAAGTGTCTGACCCGGTGCTGTGGCGGTTTTTGCAAAGTTGTTTTGTGAGAAGTGCAGAACCCCTGTAAGGACCGACTACCGTAAGTACTGTTTGGATTTTCGCCGCCTCCCACCGAAAAACCGAACCGGCGTCACCGTTTTTTTTTCGTCACCGCAAAAAGCCGAAACAGTTGAGCACACGTCGTGTTTCACCACCGCGCTTCCCTCCCGGGTCGCCGTAGCGTCCCCGGATGATTTTCTGTTCCAGGACTAGGAGGAGCCCGTCCTGGTTCCTGGAGGAAGTCGGCGTCCAAGAGGGCACAACCATGCTGGCCGTTTTTTTTTTTTAATTTCTTTTGTAGATATTTAAGATTATTTTAGCCGTAAGATTATTTTAGCCCTGTAGCTAGTGGCAGGGAATAAACACGATTATTGTTAATTTTTCTCACCCCCGGTGGCGTGAAGGTGACTGCATAAGCCTAGGTCGGCCAGACCTGTTTCTGTTCAGCGACACTAGTCGGCCCAAGGCTTGGCACCGAGGCACGCCACCCCTACGCGTTATCGGCGAAATTCCGGACCGTCACAGTCCGTCAGTGGAATTTCGTCGCAGTGTGTGTCAACTTATTTTATTGATTAAATTAGAAACGGCTCACCCCATTTTCCCAGAAAATTTGGGAACAATACTGTTATTATTAGTATTACACTACACCGATCCAAGTTGATATACGTGTCCTTGCAAAAATTTCACAAAATTTTGTAAAGAAAAAACTCACTTGAAACATATGTAGCACGCTTCTTTACATCTACTTTCACATTCCATACATTTGTTTATTTCAACTTATAAGGGTTCTAATAAAAAAATTAAATTCGCAACATCGAAATTTTATAGTTTTTCGTAAATGTTTCATTGTACTTCAGACGCGAGGGAAGTTTTGTCGAAACAACTTTCGGCCATTTTTTTCTTTATTTTTACTACTCGCTATAATATTACTATATTATCCAGTTCAAAGTAATTAACTTCAAAAAAATAAAGCACTAATATGTTAAAATATTTTTAGAAATTAGTATTGTAATAATTAATTTCAATGGTAAACATTTTTTAGATTTGAAAATAATTTTATTACTCAAGGTACATACTGCTGACTATTATTAAAACTATATTGAAAAATCTAAACACCGCCGGGTGTTCAAGGCACTTTTGCGACCTTTTTCTGTAAATTAAACTTACCTTATTTTGATTCTTGTAGTAACTGCAATATTGTCATTTATTGTTACTGATTAAACTAACAATAAAAAATATATTTGGAGCAGGCCTTGGAGTTATTAGTTGCCGTTATTTATAACAGGGTAATTATTTGCCGAGACTAATAAGTATGCCTGCATCTTAAATGATATTTGACTTGGCAGCAATTTTTCGCGGTTTATTATTAGTTCATCTTTTACTTTGTTTCATAAAAATCAGTTTTTTTTTCAGAATTGTTGTGTCAGTGTTGCGTTTACTTTTTTAGCAAGACTTTTTCTGAACAACACAAAATATTTCTGGTAATGATCCTACAGAATGTTCGACTGAATTATCCAGAATATTTTCTTATTGTTGCTACTGAAAATTTCAGGGACTCTCATGTTTTCTTTTACTTTCTAAAGAAAAAAAAAATACCAAAGGAAATTATTGTCATGGTCATAACCGTTATGATTTTGAGTACTTCCATTTTTTTATGAATAAAAAGTGACTTGGCAGCAGAAAACACTTGCTTTTTTTAAAATTAATTAATGTTGAATCATTGCTGGCTGACCAAATTTTTTCAAACCCTCGAAGATAGTGTTCCTTATGTTAACGGGAAAGTTTTTAACCAGCAGATAATTTATGGATGTAATTATGTTGTAATTAGGTACTTATTAATTTTATTTCAGAAATCTGCATTAAAGAAATTTGCACTAAAATGAGAAAACGTTTTCTAATCGAATATTATTTTGTTGTTAAATGTCATTAACATTAACCGCCAGTTTTTCACGTGACTTTACACTCTAGAAAAGTCGTAAGTAATTGAATTTTCACCGCCTACTCCAAATATGTTTTTTATTGTACCGTTTAATAACAATTGAGATAATAAAATTCCCGAGAAAATATATTTTCAACGTATATAATTAATCACTATTATTATTAAACAAAAGGTGTTCCAGATTTCTGCAAAATAAAAGTAGTATGAACTGTATCCTAGAATAAGAAAGATGGATGCCGCGAAATATTACTACAAATAAAATTTCAAAGTGACCAGTTGATAAAAATTATTATTTCAAATGATTGACTGTAACGAATCCAGATAGCTTCCTCAAAATTTTACATACCTATTATATTGTATAAAAAGTAGTGGACGTAACTCTGTAACTTTAAGACGCATTTATATGTTATGTAGTTTGTCATTAAATTTGGTTTTTATTACACGTTGATGTATGTATATAAGAAATATTACCTGTTAAATAAAACCTAAGTCGTTTTATTCATGACGATATATTTTGCTGTAAGAATGCTTTTAAACAGAGGGAAAAACGTGTTTTAATATATTTCATCTGAGAAAAATAGATGTACTACAATTAAAACCTTTGTTTTGAATTTTGAACACTATAATTATGCTGAACTGAAAGAAAATATTTATTACAACATTTCCTGGTCGTAAATAAATGGAGATATTTTCCCAGTGATAAACACTGCAATAAAACATCTAACAGAGTAGCTAAATATTAAAATATTAATTATACTTATATCAAGCGGTCGAACGTTTCATTATTTTTATTCTACGAACTTTCGCCGAGTTATAAAATCAATTTCTTATATAACTTCTAACATGTGTAAAAATCTGCTTGAAAAATTGTTTTATCCTACAGGAATTATATCACTTTAAATTAAAAAACTCATTGGGGTTAAGTCAAAACCTATTGCAACGTAAAACCCACCTGCATTTGTAAATTTATGTTGTAAAAATACGGCATTCAGTATTCGTACTAAATGGTTCTTTCATGATTATTAGTAGTTTAATGAACTTTTCAAGAAATTCGGTCATCGCCAACATACAATAAGGACTAGATGTGTTAAAACAATTTGTTAGAAGTTTTCAACTGGGGCGCATTTCTGCAAAATTCAAATATGCTGTAAAATAAACGAAGAGCACAATTGTAACTATTTTATCTACTGTTCTAAATTGCAAAAAAATTGGTTATACGGTCCCACAACCCATAATTGTCGACTGGGCTTTAGTGTAAGTAAACAAATACAACCACTATTGTAAGCAACAAGGCAAACAAAAAACTCTCGTTCGATAAAGCCCTAAATCTGTATAACATAAACGTGAACAAATTTCAAGAAACTCCATTCTTAAGAATTGAAAAATACGCGAATTTCCCACTTCAGTAAATATTCTTTTTTATTATACCTCCGAGTACAGAACACTACACAACTTTGAACCCCCTTCAAAAGCGTTCGCATAAAAGTGAAACTCCATCACAAGTGAAATTTCAAACTTTTTCCACCCGTAAAAATAATGTATCGAAATTGTTTTTACTACTAACAAGCACATAAACACTATCATCGCCAACAACAACAAAAAAAAACAAACGTCAATACCCCAAGAACCGCGATATCGACATCAAAATGCGTGACGTTATCGAGTGTTTTGTATAAAAAGAAATAATTTATTAGGAAATGTGGGCCGATAACGGCGGCGAGGCGACCTGGCATCGTCTTTCCCTCATTTATTTACTTTTGCCATCGATTTTCGCCTATTGGATAATTGTTATGCGCGCAAGGTCCGGTATGAACCGCGTGGACAGTGCAAGTCTGTCTATGTCGAAGGACACGACTAAAGAACATCAAAACTCACCAAGAAGTCTGTAACGAGAATTTTGATGAGAGGTCTAGCTGCGAAACAAAGTTCGCAAGACATGCATATGGAGCGGCGCACGTTTTAATACGCTGTCGGTACACAAACGGGCATATTTCGGCCGCCGGAGCGTTCTGTTGCCGGAGGACGTCGGAGCTGTACTGAGCGTCAAAACCGTCACCTGGTCGACATCGTCGCGACGCCCTCCAAGAGAATCGCGCACTTCTCCAGGATGGATAGCTATCGTGCGCTGACAAGTTTTTAACCTGGGGTTGCTAGATAACAGCTGGCTACTCGAAAAGTTTTTTGAAAAAAAGAGCAACTTTAGCTTTTATTGTGGCATGACAAAAAAAATTCAGTAAACATAAAGTCAAATATCTAATAAGTGTTTCATTTGAAGGTATGAAAACACCAAATCGGGTGTGCCGCATGATTTTTGATTTTGATGAAAAAAAAATTGGATGATCTTTTAGGTAACAAATACGAAAATTCGTCGTCATTAATTTTTTAGAATGCTCCACTTACTATCGGCACTAACTCAAAGGCTGAAGTTGTATTATTTTCATACTCTCCTGCTACACGCTGATACCTTTTACTTCCTGAGTCTAACCTAAGGAAATATAGTAATCGAGTAGTCTCCCGTTTCTATCTGTCTGTCGGTCTGTCTGTCTGCCCCCTGTCCGAATTTTTATTAGACAAATAATCTCCGAAACTATTGGACCGATTATTGTCAAATTTTGTATGCATATTAGGAATATCATGTGGACGGTACACTAACCAAAGTTTGGTGACGTCCGCTGATTATATTGCACAATTAACATTACCGATTTTGTATGAAATATAATATACTCCTGTACTTATGGTTTACGAATCTGATCTTCATTTCGTTTATTATTATTATTAGTAATAATTTTAGGTCTCTGTTTTGAAACGATAAACTCGTTTAAATCAAACACATTTCTATGTGATATTCCTCCGATGTATAAACATAAACACTTCAAGTTACGCCTATGGCTGAGAGGCCATTTTTCCCGTTGATTATCTGCTATAAATATATTTTACATTGTCCGTATTTGTGCGGCGTCCAGCCAGAAGCGGATTTATAGGGATGCTTCTAATGATGGAGCGTCAGACCACCGAAGTTAAAGGGCTCCTTCTGGTCTAAATGTAAAGAAAAATAAAATTTATTTGTTTGTAATTTGGTTATTACAAGAACACAATTTCGTTTTCGTCTAAGTATTTGTTGACACGTAAGATTTCTAGATTGTGCAAAATGCAAATTTGGCAACTTCCGGGCGTTCCAATAATTTATGACTTGCAGCAAGTCAGCCACCTACATAAAGAGCTCTCGCCGCCGGACGGCTATGTTTTGTTTTAAGTATCAGTTTCTCATCCTTATGTTTGCTTTTCGGTTCGTTCAGTAATTTTAAAAGTGTGCGTTACCTACTATCTATTTATTAGTGAATTTTATAGTTTATTGTCAAACATTAAAAAAACCGCTTGCATAATTAATTTTGTGTGTAAAGACATCTAAAACTTAAGGTTCAACATGAACCGCAGTTGGTAATATATCGAAATGTCACACGTTTTTTTACACTCCAATCTTCTACGTTCTTCTTTTTCTACATAAATTAAAGTATTGAAAATATGTAAATTAAATTTTCTAACCAAGACCAACTCCTAATTTATAATAAGAAAAAAATGGGTCCCAGATAAATAACAGCATCAGGTCTCTAAGAATCTAGATCCGGCCCAAGATGTCCACTGGAATTTGTGCCCCCACCGCGCAAGGCCTGCGAGGATGTTATTTATGCCGCTGGATTTTACTTTGTAGAGAAGTTACCACAAACCAGAAATCGCAAAATATAGTTTTATAATTTTTCAAAGAAGAGATTTGTACCTTGTTCACTGTATTATTTGTTTTTATTTTTTGGGTTAAAGGTTAATATGTTTTAATTTATAGTCAAAAAAAAATTTGTAAAAACTATTACAACATTTTTGTTTCTGTCATATATTTATAAGAACTTATAGGTACTTCAGACGCGAGGGAAGTTCTGTCGAAATAAACTTTGACCAATTTTTTCTGTGAGATGAGCAGTTAATTTAGCATATCGGTGTTAAACCACATAATGGCAGGCAATTTTTAATGAAATAAGTGTTAAGCTTCAAGTTCCAAAGAAAATTGGTACAAGATTTATTAATGATTTATTTTTGTTGTATTATTCTTTATGTCGTGAATTTCTTCTTTTATTCTCAGCCTTAATTCCTCCAAATTGTTGTGGGTGCTCTAGGTTCTAATAATTATTTTGAGAATTAATGCAATTTCCCAATATTTTCTGGAGTTGTCTTATCTTTCGACCCGCCACTTCTCTTTTTTCTTTGTAGAGACAAAGCTTCTCGGAACTTTAGCACAATTCATTATAATGCGTGCCAAAAATGGACAGACAACGAAATTCTTCCCGGAATTCGTCGCAGTCCGCTTGAATCGAATACTCCCACACACCTTCTGGCTGTTTCGAATTATGCGACTCATTCGTAAACGCCTTCTGCTCCAAATGGAAATGTCAGTTGTTAGTAATGCGCAAGTACACAAATAAAGTTCTGAAAAAAATGTTTTTAATAAAGTAAGGTGATTTCTCCAGGAAGCAACAACAAATAAGAAAAGTAAGGTTAGAAAGAGTATTCCATGTAACAGTTGTTCAGGCCCCAGCGAGGCTGATTAATAAATAAACGTAAAATTTTAATCAAAGATAAAAATCCGTGTATAAGGATTTTAATTTTCGGCTTTTTGGGTGTTGTTAAAATTTCCCTTACGTACCTTTAGAAACTTCATAAAAATCATTTTTTATAAAAAAATCTATCTATATGTAAGTAACATTTCTCTTCATTTGTTAAAACGTCAGACATTGCAACTAAATTTATTTATAACTAAAGCCTGAAGTTTTCTCTCCGCAATCAATTCTTTATTCAGACAGAAATTCCGTCGCCCCTGAAATACAGGCGAAAAAATACAGATTTTTTGAAAAATAGTTATAAAATCTTTTTATATATAAGCCATGTAGGTTAAAAAAAGTTTAGTGTGTGTGGACTGTTAAAGTACAGGTAAAGATGCTATGCATCTATTTCAAGTGAGTTTTTTCATAACGACGTAATCAACATTTTAGCAAGGACACGTATATCAATTTCAATAGGTGCAGGATAGTACTAATAATAATAGTACTCCAATCTTGGAGAAAATGGGGTGAACCGTTTAATCAATAAAATAGATATCCTCATTCGTTAATTATTTTGAATCACCCTGTATGCACTGATGATACTTTGCATATTTTAGATAGGATTTATTGGGCAACTTTTTTTTAAATGGGAATAAACGGATAAATTTTGATTAACGATTTACCGTTCTTACGATAACCTTCAACATTTTCAAGATTTCAGAGCATTCGGTTTTGCAGTTTGAAAGTTAAATTGTTATAAACGTTTGATTTTTTTAGATTAGTAATACTGATTTAAGATTTTTAATACACAGTAGCATTACAGGTGGTAGTTACATTTATTTTGAGAATTAATGTGACTAGTACATTATTCTACAAGTAACGAAAATTAAGCATTTCTAGCGAGTAAAAAAATATTGATTCACCAGCCCAGCAAGTGGATTAAATTTTGTCGAGATAGAAAACTTAATTTTTTTAATACGTGAATGTATTTTTTTCCTTAAAACTTGGTGGAAAAGCTTGGGAGGAAGCAAATTTCTACGGAAGGTTATTTGGACAGAACTTTTCTCGGACCTGAAGTACAGTTGAAAAATTAGAAAATTCACTTTTGTAAACACGTATACCAGTTTGAATGGGTGCACTGTAATATTTGAAGAGCACTTTACAAATAAACGACAGTACAGAAATTTCAGTTGGGACTAATTGCATTCTTAAAGAAACAAAATCTAGGAAGCAAATCCAAAAACTAAAAAGTTTTGACATCTAAACATATTTGAAAATTCTCAGAAGGCAACATCTACACAAGACATTGTTTGCACCGAACATTGGCTACATTGCTAATCGCTGAGAGTAGTAGTATATTGTGGTTTAAAAAGGCTGTTCAATAACTTCAGTCGGAAGATAATAATAATATATCGAAGACAGTCTCCAAAATTAAATTAGAATGTCAAAGAAAATTTTCAATTATCTGACTCCTGACTCAACAAAAGTTTCAGAGCATCAACATCCCTTACAACCTTCGTCTACTTTGAGTGTCAACACACTGGCGAACCATTTTGTCTCTATGGCTATTAAATTTTCATGATTTGATTGTATTTTTAATATTCACCAAAATAAATCAAAATTGTGAACTTTGTGCTTGGCAGTAACAACATGTGAGTTATTTTTAAGGTAGCTCCTTTTGATTGAAATACCCTGAATTTTGAGAGTAGCTTCCATACTTTTTCCGCAATTTCTACTACATTGCACACTACATTCAAATAATGAACAACAAATAGAAAACCTATATTTTACTTCCCGAACGTAAGGAAGTATTGTAATCGAGTCCGTCGGCCGACTCTCTACTTTTACGTTTTCTCGACCTTTCATGACCCCTAGAGTACGAAGAAATAGGTCTCCCGTTTCCGTCTGTCAGTCCGTCTGTCTGTCCGTCTGTCTGCCGACCCGAATTTTTATTAGGGAGATAATCTCCGAAAGTACTGGGCCGATTGTTGTCAAATTTTGTATTTATGTTAGAGATATCATGTAACTAAAATTTGTCTAGTCATCCCCACTAATAATGTGATGACGTCACTTCAAAATTGCACATAGCAAATTGGTTTTAAATTGTATGAAATAACATAAATGTCGTTTCTAACTCCGTATTGAGTTTTTACCCGAAACGCCCAAATTTTTGGAAAAAAATCAAAATTATAAAATAACATTTTGCAACTTAATTTGGAATCTCCAAAACCAGATGGTTTACAGTTATGATAAGCATGATAAGTTTTTAACCAAAATATATTTACTTATCCCCTCCAAAAAATTGATGACGTCAGCTCAAAAGTTCGCCGAATAAATCCTACCTCAAATATACAAAATATTATGATGAGTATGTACTTGTGATTTATCATTCCATTCATATTTTTTGGATTTGCATATACAGGGTG